GGGGGGGGGGGTAATTGGGCCTCCGGAAACCTTACCCACACGGTGAAACACAACGCGATTCTTCTTTAGGTAACCGAGGGCTGGGCTCGCTGTCATTCCAGCGGTAAGTGCCCTCTTTCGAAGTGGCGGTTTCGGATTGGGCGGGAGGAAACGCCCGAGTGTCATCACTGCGAGGACCACCCGGAAGACGTAAACATATTTATAATATTAAGTAAACCTTTCTGTGTTATCTGACCTTTTTTGACAAGGGAGTTTCATGTCAATGGATCATTGACAATTTATTTTTTTATTATCATGATACAACATTAACGTATCCAAAGAGGCTGAATACTAATTTTATTTACCATTGAACTTATTTGATGGAAATTCGGTTCAACAAGAGTTTGAGACACTGGCAGTAGAAATGAAGTCTCACGAGATAGGAACTATGCGTTAAAATTCCGGGACTCTCTATTGCTTAAACCACTGAACCTATTTGAGTGCAATTCGGTACAACGATATTTTGAGACTCGGAAAATGACGATACAATGACGAATGATAGTTTTCAACCACTGTACTGCAACCACTATTTGATTGGAATTCAAATGGTGTTTTAATCACTGAGACCTCACGGGAATGGATATTATACGGGTAACATCCCTGTGGGATTTCTTATTTTTATCTTCTTATAGATGTCTGACATTTATGCTGAACTGGACCTTTTTTGGTGCAGCTGTCGGGCACATGATTATTGTTGGTATATTTAACTTTTAAATTTTGTATATACCTACCTACATCTATTAATGTTTTTTTTTTATTTTTTTATTTCACTCCTAACTTTTTTGTTTGTATTGTATTTATTGTATTATGTTTGTGCCTGGTGTTGTACCAAATAAATTATTTTTCTTTCTTTCTTTCTTTCTATTTTTGAAAATCAAGAAAAAAACTAAATTTCACAATAAATATAACTAAATTGATTCTGATAAAATTTGTTACACAGCATTGCAATTATCCTTGGAGAATACTAATTAAAAAAACCAAAATGTGCCAAAAGTTATTATTATACGCGGACGAAGTCGCGAGGAACAGCTAGTAACATAACATAAC